TATATATATATATATATATATATATATATATATAATATATACTACCTAGACCCTTCAGCGACAACAAGGGCTTTGTTGCAGAACAGATTGTAGCGTGAATAATTTCGCTGGTGATCTCATCAAGTGTTTAAGTGCTGAAAACCCTTTTTGGTTTCTTACTGCATTCCGTATTTCACACACGCATATAACTCACATATGCATACATATATTTACAATGTATAAAGAAATACCTGCTAAACAGTTCGTAGGGAATGCTTCTTTTCTTTAAGCTCTGGTGTAGTGTGTTTCCGAAGCACCATAGGTAGCCAAACGGCCCATGAGAATTGCTGTCTGCTGGATGTTTATGGTGTCTGTTTGAACTCGTACATCCTTTAGTTTGTGCACTGGGTAATTTCTGTTTGCTTGCTCGTTATATTTTCACCTTCTAGGGGGAGTGGAAGGCAGACCTGGTCAAACAAAACATACCTTTCACTCCAACTGTTACTCCCTTGGAGGTCTTGGCTGACGAGGCAGACGTCGCCCTTTGGAAGAATGAGGGACTCCCGGCAGATCGCATTTCCATCGAGAACGCCGCCATTGTCAACTCCTGCATGAGGTAACCCCGAACCCAGTACCTAGCAGCTTGAGTCCGAGAAATGTTTGTTGTGGGCCGCTGTGTGGCGGCGTGAATACTCGTTAATGGGGTGTACAAACAGGTTGGAATATAGTAAAGTGCCTCAGTCTGCAGGTATACATGTACTTTATACATTACAGTATCATAGATTAACCATAATGCATCATCATGTGTGCGTCAAGGCTGCCGCTCGCGTTGTGTGCATGTGCAGATGGCCGTTGTTGATAGACCCTCAGCTGCAAGGGACGCGTTGGGTAAAGCAGCGGGGCCACGATAGTCTCATAACAGTTTCTGTAAATCGCGATCGTTGGCTTACCAAAATAACCGATGCAATCAGAAATGGAGATGTTCTCCTCATCGAAAACCTCTCCGAGTCCATTGATCCTGTACTTGATCCGCTGGTTTCGCGCAGCGTATCCAGAAAGGTTTGTTAGGCTGCCGCTGCTGGTACTTCTGCTGCTGCTGGTGGTGCTGAATTAGGGCAAGAACCAGACAGCTCGTGCTGCTTCGAAGATGCATGTATTGAACCTTTTGCTGCTTCTGCAGCGGGTCGGCTGTATCTTACTCTTTTGTTTAGTGGGGCGGTTGTTGACTAAGCGTTTATGATGCAAGCACCTGAATGTGCAAGCGCAAGACATTCTGGTGCTCTAGGGTTTAGTGTGTCATATATATATATATATATATATATATATATA